AGTTGAAGTAGAAGATGACCCTGAAACAGAACATGAAAATGACCCTGCAGCTGAACATGTTCATGAAATTGATTCAGACCCAGAAGAGGTTGATCACAACTGTGAACCGGAACCTGAGGATGAGGAGTGTGAGCCAGAAGTAGCTCCGGAAGAGACAAGTGAAGCTGGATCGGAGTCTGAAGAAGAGGTATCCGAGGTCCAGGAGGATAGAAGGCAGCCCAGCTCTGAGCCTAGACCTAAGAGAACTGTCAAGCCAGCTATTAGACTTACCTATGATGAGCCTGGTAGATCCAGAGATGAGCCTTTGACCATAGTACACAGAGGGATAGTCATTAAAATAGGAAAACACTATACACATTAGTTATTATGCCCTTAGGACTCCTTTGTTAGTTTATTAGTGTCTGATGAGGACACACAGACATTTAAAAGGGGGAGGGTGTAACCCTGTTGAAATATGTTCTTTAGTATAAGATATACAAGTTTGAATAAATAATTTCATAGTTTACTAAATAGAGTTTAAGGTGCGTTTCATCACATAATTCACTGTCTGGCCCATGCGCCTGTCCTGGCATTTGCCAATCCACAACATCCATACATCCTGCATGTGGATGCCAGCTTGAAGGGTCTTGGTGCTGTTCTTTACCAAGAACATCCTGAAGGCCTGAGACCAGTTGCCTTTGCAAGCAGAAAAGTCAGCTCTGCTGAGAGAAATTACCCCATACATCAGCTGGAATTTTTGTCACTCAAGTGGGCAGTAGTCGACAAATTCCACGACTATTTGTATGGGGCAAGATTCACTGTACGTACTGACAACAACCCGCTTACGTACGTGCTGACCACAGCTAAGCTCAATGCGGTGGGGCATCGGTGGCTAGCTGCCTTATCGACGTACGAGTTTGATGTGCAGTATCGCCCAGGCCGCCAGAACATTGATGCCGACAGGTTGTCAAGGAACATGCCAGAGGAGGATGACAAGGGCTGGGTGACTATACCTCAGTCTGGTGTGAAAACCATCTGCCAGAGAATCTGCATCTCAGAGTCTGCACGCAGTACGCTAGTCTGTGTTGCTCACCTTGGAGCATCTCCCCACTGTGTCCCTGACCTGTATGCATTTCCCACACACATGGAGTTAAAGTCCCTGGAACTTATGTCCAAACTGAGTCTCAGGAAGGCTCAGGAAGCCGAGTTAGCTTTCAGTCCATAGAGATCGGCGACCGAGTACTGCTCCGGAATCTAGGCCTGAGAGGCAAGCACAAACTGAAAAGCAAGTGGAGTCCTGATCCGTATGTTGTCGTTGGAAATATGCCAAACCTTCCTGTGTTTAAGATCAAACGGGAGGATGGAAGTCTAGGGACAAAGACTATACACAGGGACCACCTTCTTCCGATTGGACAGCGAGGAGGCGAGGAGGAACGGGGGGGAGTGAGTTTTTGCGGAAAGGAAAAGACGGTTACTGTTAATGTAATGCACCAGAAAATGAAAGTGTTCAATACGGACTCTTATACAAGACGTTAATGGTGATAGTTATGTTTGTCTGAGTGATAAACTCATCACAGTACGACAGATGTAAGCTTAAGTTAGCCGCTAATTTAGTGGCTAGTGTTTGCATGGACTTTGCTGACAAGCTAGCGGCCAGCGACCTTGATTAGTTAAGCCTGTGTGGAAATATGAGACAACGATGATCAAAGACCTTCCCGGAGCCGGATAGCGTTATCGAGTGTGGACTTTGCTGAGATCGTCAACGATGTGAATCTTCTCTTCAACCGTTTTCTCTTCATCGCGAATCCTCCAGTCCTGTCTTCTGCGGCTGACGCCTTTGATCTGGTGCGCGTGAGGTTACATTCACATTGAGTAAAGGTACCACTTGTTTGTTTGGCCTGCGTGGTGAAACAGCCATTGGGTTTAAGGCTACTACATACCCAAGCTACATTCAGGCTTGCATCATTTGAACATTTGAAGGGTATTTCACGTTAAGCTAGGTTTTTGCCGGCTATTTTATTTTCTTGGGCCCTTATGTGTTAAATGTGAATTTAAATGCATTTGTGATGAGAAAAGTGAGTTTGACCAGACATATTTAATTTCTGACCTTCCTCTTCTAAGTAAATCTGGTATACTCTTTGTAAAACCTTTGTGGTTACTGACTCTTTTGATATCTTAAGTTAATTAAGAAAAGAGAGAACATTTTGGGTTAAACGTGAAAGTGTTTATAGGAGAAAAGTAATTACCTTTTAATTAAAAGACCTGTAATTTCCTGTTATAGTGTAAATATTACTGCTTAAATAGTGATTTAAAGAGGGAAAAGTATTTCATTTAATAAGCTAGTAATTGCACACACACAAGGCAAACACAGATAAGTTATTAGAGAAATCTCACTTATTTGATTGGATAGATATTTAAAGAACTCAGTATAGCCACCTCTCCTTATAGTTTAGCACGCTAGAGAGGCGCTACACGTAGGAACCCTTTTATGGTCTCGATGACACACCACAGTCCATTATATGACTGTTGTCAGCCAGTGAAATTGGCATCTTTTCACACACGTTTCAGACACTGGCCACGCTGGATGTGTTTCCACAGCTCAACACAGCTCAAAATACACAGCACATCTTGGTTTCTTGTGGTGACCTCCATTCTGAATAGTATAAATCACCCTCCAAAAGGGCACTTTGAAGAGTAATCAAGTCCATCAATTCCTTACAGGAGTCCATAAGAAACTCTGTGTGTTGATAGTCCAATGTGTCAACCTGTGTATATACAATCCAATGTGCAATAATCCAAAGTGCAAGTGTGAATAGGTAGTCCTGGAATGGCAAGTGTTCAAAACAAGGTACTTCACAATCCAGGCAGTGGTTTACATTGACCTGAGTCCCGTTTGGTTTTTCAAGCCCCAAACTTAGGCCATACTGCTCCTTTTATCCTAAAAGAGGCTACTTCCTGTCATGTGATTGGTCACATGGCAGGTAGAGTCTCAGTTTTTAAAGACAAACACACCATTTTAAGAGGAGTTCAAATGGACAGGGAAACATGCAAAACCATTTAAAACTCTGACACACAAAATGTACAATTACACGCAGAGCGGTTGAAACATGTCCCATATGTGGCAGTGTCACAAATTAGAGTAAATACAAACAGCGTATTGAACAGCAACTTCAGTAACAACAAGCCCCATAGTATATGAAAAGGCATGAAGGTATTATATATTTATTTGGACTACAAAACCAACAATCCACTGCTAAATGATGACGCCATATTGCCTGATGTCCTCACCCAGTTTTTGCCCGCTACGATACTCAAAAGGAGTAAGTTGCTCCATTTATTAAGACACCGGGTGGAGAGTCAGTTCCGGTTCTTTAACATCACCAGGGGATGGCCGCTTTTAAGAAAGTCAAAGCAAGTAAGGCAGGACCAGAGAGAGTGGCGGGCAGGGTACACAAAGTATGTGCTGATTAGTCAGTAGAAGCACCAGCTTTACAACAGTCATGGAAACACCGCATGCTAGGCCTATAGTAACACTCGTTTCAGCTTTTGAGGGAAAAGGCCAAATTTTGACTGAAAACACATAATTTTAGAGTGAAGAAGAGTACCTTTATAATCCGAAAAGTCCTTTTAGGAAAAACCTGATACAATGAACAATGCTATGTTATGAGGTTGTGCGCTGCGTTCATACAATCAATGACACTGACACAGAAAATATGTACTTTAATCCAGGGTTTAGGAATGTGCAGTGTGAAACGGCAGTTTATGAATACCCAGGATTAACTTTTAACCCTAGGTAAATTATATTAGCGTGAAACTTGAAGCAAGGTAACCCAGGATTCCGTTTACCCAAGGTTTGGAATGACCAAGATTTCAAGTATGAAAAGCCCTAAGTCTGCTTCTCCTCAGGAAGCTGCAACAGGCACAATTCCTACAGAAACTGCTTCTGAATTTCTATAGAAGCACCAATGAAACCATCCTAACAAACTGTGCCACATGCTACCGAATAGAAAGACCTACTGCAGCCTTGCATTCTCAGACTTGTAATCTCAGTCACCTGCACTTTATTTGCCAGTGACGTCACTTACACTCGACACAAATAAATGTAAAAAATATTGTCAACGGGGCCAATAAGCTGGAATGGCAAAATTATTTAAAGTACTTTAGTACTGTTATGAGACTGAAATGTTTTATGATATTTTGTTGCTGCTTGTGTCTGTATTGTGGGATTATAATAAAAGTTATATTTCAGCATTCATAAACACTAAAATGAGATGAAGTCTATAATACTAATATTGCCCAGGAGAGTGAGCCATAGGACAACAACCCCAGTTTAAAATCTGTGTAAATGGCTCAATAGATTGACTTGTGGTAAAGAAAAAAAGCAAAGCCATTCATTATAGTTTCATAGTTTGATAAAGCATAATTTAATCACTTTTCAAAGAAATCTGTGATCTCCACAATACATACAGATGATTGTTACATTATTTTTTATACATCCTAATGATACTGAAATCATTTGTCAAGTTAGTGAACATTGCTGTCCAATTAAAACAAAGAGACAACATTGTTTGACAATATATTACCTTATGACAATATTGTTATATTATTTTAATATAATGCATAGATTAATACTTTGATGAAGAGACACTTTTTTCATTTTATACTTGAAAAGAGACATGGTCATTGTATCACTGTATCATTTACATGAGCCGTTGGTACATGGAACCTTATAATCGCCCCTGGCTACATTTTTCTAGTTTCTTTTTCAACTTTTTACAATGCGACGATTTACAACTATTAACAATTTGTATTACTGAACAAATAAAATAATGGCAAACGATAGACATACCAATAATACAACATAAAAAGTAACAATAAAGCAAAACATATTTTCATCGTTTAACAATAAAAATAAAATCCCAAAATCAAGACTGACCATTTTTTAATCGTATTTTAAATATACAGTAGAAAACTGCAAGTCATTACGTCAACAAGTTCAAGGAGCATATGCATGTCCTGCATCTGAGTAAAAGCAAAGCTGGAGGGTTCCAGAGCATCATTTCTCTCCTCTGGAAATTCAGCCTTCAATAATTTGTGCATTGCCTTGGTCTTTTTCCTCCACACACAGCATTTTGGCGCATTTTGACTGTTCCACACACCACTTGCTGCCTGTAAAATAATTAACATGTTAAACACACAAGGACACGGAAGCTACAATTGTAATTAACCAAAACCAATAATGATAACACTGCATGAATGTAAAAAAAACAAAAAAAAACAAAAACAAATGAACTATTACCTTGTTGCTACTCCTCTAAGGACACGTACCTCTTGTGGTGATTGAAGCAGTGCATTTTCCAGTGCAGTATGTCTATTATCATCAAGGAGTTGGTAAATCAATATAACTTTGAATTATTGCATATCGGTGAGTACGTAGATTCATAACTAAATGATCCAGGTGTTAAAAGGTTAAAAAAAATTGTTATTAAAAACATTTTTTATTAAAATCACTGCACTGTAAAAAATGATCGTGATTTTAACGGTAAAAGACTGTAAAAATGCCACAGTAAAAACCTGTTAAATGATTAACAGTAAGTTTCCTTACTATATACGGTGAATAACTGTAATAGATCTAACCTTTGTTTTCGAGAAAGTAGCCTCAGAGTCAACACTCATAGACTGTGTCTGAAATCACACCCTAAACCCTCATTCACTATTCCCTACATGAGTTTACTAATACAGTCCACCTGACAGAGAGAATGTAAACTAATGAGTGAATTCAGCCAATGATGAACAGCTGCTGTTAACAAGCAGAATCACTGAAGAAAAGAGCAAGAAATGAAACTACAACTAACTTCAGCCACAGCCTTAAATGAAATCAACTGAAATAAAACAGCAGAGGAGGATTACACAACTCCACAAACAGCATTAACAGCTTCACTCATTACTAACCAGACTCACTTTATTTCTGTCATATATCTACAAAAATTCTTTGAGAATTAACCGAGGTTTATATTGTATTGAAAATGTTTTGTTTGGTCTCACCATTTGGCGATCAGTGGTTGCTTTAGTTGGGCTCTTGACCCTTGACTCTTTAATGTTAGTTTGTGTGTATGTAAAGCATATTTGTTATGACAAGAAGAGCAGAGAGAAATTGTAATGAAGTGTTTTGGTAACTATTAATGATGAGAACTCGTCTCATGATCTGATTCACTGGGTTGATTAACTTTTTTTTGTTTATGGTGCTAATATGGCTCTATAAGATATGTTGACAAACTATTAAGAAATTTAAAAACATTTTATGCACAAAACCTTTAGAGCTACAGCACCGTTTAGACACACAGACATAGTTCAAAGCTTGTATTTGTGTATATTGTGCTTAGGAATGTTTCACAATGATTGCGGTAGTATCAGTGGTGCAATTCAAGAGTATTAGTTATATGTGACACACTTAATAAGAGATTAAACATTAGGTGAGATCAGTGAATCAGACTAGTTCATGATGGTCTTGACATCACAAACACCAGTTTCATCAGATCATAGATTCTTTTGGCTTTTCTTGCTATACAAACTGTGTTAAATAAGCAGCTAATTTAAGCAACCAAAGAAAAAACTATTTTAGAAAAGTCAAGGTTCAAGAGCACAACTAAAGCCATTATGGTGACTTCAAATGAAAGTACAACACCTAAAATCTCAATAAGAGCTTTTGTACACAAATAACAGAAATAAAGTCACACTGGTTAGTAATAAGAAGCTGGTGATGCTGTTTGTGGAGCTGTTTAATCCTCCTCTGCTGAGATCTCGATCAATTTAATGTTTTATTTTCAGTTGATTTCATCTTTGGCTTTGGCTGTAAGTTGTGTTTCTCTGCTCTTGTTTCTCTTTCCTTCAGTGATTCTGCTTGTTAACAGGTGTTCAAGCTAACTAAATCAATCAAAGAAAAACTATTTTTTAAGAAGTCAAGGTTCAAGAGCCCAACTAAAGCAAACACCGATCGCCATTATGGTGACTTCAAATGAAAGTACAACACCTAACATCTCAATAAGAGCTTTTGTACACATATGACAGAAATAAAGTCACACTGGTTAGTAATAAGAAGCTGGTGATGCTGTTTGTGGAGCTGTTTAATCCTCCTCTGCTGAGATCTTGATAAATTTAATGTGTTTTATTTTCAGTTGATTTCATCTTTGGCTTTGGCTGTAAGTTGTGTTTCTCTGCTCTTGTTTCTTTTTCCTTCAGTGATTCTGCTTGTTAACAGGTGTTCAACACTAATGCTCAATCCTCACTTAATTATCTCATTAACGTCATCACCACTTCAGTGTCACTTCAACACTCTGTAGTGTGGACACATATAAGTGCTCTTTAAAACTGAGGATTTTGCTGTGGGATTAAAGGGGTTAAATGTGTGAGATGAAGAAAAACACACTGTGAAATATATTTTTAATAAATGTTAATTTAATTTACGGAAGCAAACTGTAAAAAACTGTTGATTACTGGCAACCACAGCTGCTGGTATTTCACCGTAAAATCAAGAAAAGAAAACAGCAAAATACTGTAAAACCTAACAGTCATCTTCCTGTTGTGTTTTGTTGGTCACCATTGTACTGGAGTGCAGAGCCTGTGTTTAAGTAAAGGACGGACAGAGAAACACTGATATTATGCTGCGTGTTGTTTTATTTAAAGGCAGTAACTGTGTAGTTACTGATGCAGTGTGAATCGCTTCAATTATTTCAATCAGACATGAATGTGTGCTGCTGTTATCTGCAAAAGATTTGATTTGAATTAATGCTTTTAATGACTTTGCATAAATCAGTAGGTTTTTCTTCATGGACTTAAACAAAATAGTTCTTAAGACCAATTTGCTTGCGTTAGTTAAACGTTATAAATATTAGTTTATAAACAAATGCCAATTAGTCAATTTAAGTGCAGTCGGTTTCTGCAAATAAAATTAGTTAACTCAAAGGTTTGCTTATTAACATTGTATCAGTTAATGAAATAGTTTTTTTCACTGTAAATTTAAACAGTTCTGTAAAACCTAAAATGTTGCTACCGTATTTTTCACGGTAAAGTGCTGGCAACCACAGCTGCTGGTATTTTACTGTAAATTTAACGAACTTTTTTTACAGTACGGACTATAAAATAATCAACAAGATTTTCCGGTGTATATCCAAACACCTATTTTAAACCAATGACTTCACTGAGACAACGTTTGGTCGTTCCAAAGATCCGGATTCCCAAACACCAAAGAAGTAATGTTGTATATACTGTTAAGTGTAGTGAGGAGTCTGAAGATTTATACATAGGAGAAACAAAACTGCCACTTTATCGACACATGGCTCAGCATAGATGTGCAAATTCTTCTGGGCAGGATTCAGCAGTTTTCTTGCATCTACAGCAAAAGAAACGATTTCACAATCATGAGGTGAGAATTCTGGATAGAGGTGGTTTGAAAAAGGGTGTAAAAGAAGCGATTCATGTAAAGGTGGAGCTTTCCTCTTTGAATAGGGAAGGGGTTTGAGATAGGGATGCACAATATATCGGCCACCATATCGGTATCGGCTGATAAATGTTAATTTTTACTGTTAGAAAGAAAATTTGTCCGATATCTTAAAGCATTATTTCCTTCAGAGAAACTTTAGATGTGCACTGTTCGCCATGATGGTTTTGAAATGCTTGAAATGTGATTGGAATCACTTCAAAAAGGACAATACACTTTAGGGATGTCAAAATGGTTGAAAAACTAAATTAGAATTTTGTACTTAAATATTATCAAAATTCTAATTATATTCAAATTTAAAATGCATAATTTCAGTTCCAAAGTTAAACTTGAATTAATTTTACATGGCTTTCTAAACATGCGGCTCTTTTGTGCGAGATGCGAGTGCAACGGTGATAGATGTCCTTCTAGAAAATGTACGAAATATACTTTCTGTGTGAATGGCTTGGTTTCAGTTTTGATGTAAACAAGATCTTCTCCGCAATGATGTTTTCTTTTTCCGCAATATTTTTTATGAACAACGCAGCAGCGCCACATCTAGTGGCTTCAACTGGACAGGATAACAAATACATTATAATGCAACGACACTTACATCGTCATCGCATCTCGTGCGCCACTGATAAGGCTGCCTCCTTAACGCACACATAAAATTCGAATGCAATTTTGTTGCATTCGAATGTGGATTTTTATTTTAAATTCGACGAATATACGAAATTCAAACATTTTTTTGACAGCCCTAATACACTGAAGTGCAACACAAGTCTGTCATTAAGGCTACATAAAATTATAATGTGAACATTACATGTTGTGAAATCTTTGTGCGCCTGTGTTTTGTGTGCGCGTTGAGCGTGTCCACAACGGAGCTACACCTCCATGACAGTTAAGTTCACTTTGTGCATTTACAGCCTTTTGTGCAATTGTACGTTGTAATATTGTGTTTATTTTATGTATATCTGATTTATATATATATATATATATATATATATATATAATGCATTTGGTTAAGTTAATAAAGCACTTCAGTTTATCGGTGATCATCTTTAGCTTAGCGCACGTAGCTCAAACAGCAGCGCACAACATTAATAACTATGATTGGGAATGTTGTGTATATAAAATTCTAATAAGAACATTATAATAAAATGTTGTGAATTCTTTTGGTTTAGTTGCCGTGTTGCAGCGCGTTGTTACGGGAAGAGCGCATCCACAACAGGAGTTATACATTCTGACTATAGCACACAATAACTTTGTAATTTTGTACATAAGTTGTTATATTATGTTTATATTGCATAAATATCTGATAAATCTCATATATGATGCATTTCCTTGAGTTAAATAAGCTGCCAGCAAAGCACTTCAACTTCAGCGCGCGCAGCTTGAACAGCAATCCACAACTTTAACAACTAGGCCTACCTGCAAACAAACCTTTACAGGCCCACTTAGGGCTGCCAGTGCAGGGCCCCTGAGAATTTGCTCATTGGCAAAACGTTGGCCCCTTAGCATTGGCCCTGCATGGGCAGCCCTCACTTAGCCTCCAGGAAGCCTTAGCGCTGTTTAATTGAAAATAATAAAGTTCGAAGTCACCATTATAGAGGAAAGCGCTTGCTTTAGTTGGGCTCTTGACCCTTGACTTTTTAACTTCAATGATTCTTTGACTGCTCTATGTGCTTCTGAAGCACATTTGTTATAGCATTCAGTCATCACGTAGTGGCCTGATTTCACCCAGAGTTTTATCTATAAGGACATTATTTAGATTTAGCTATTTCACATTATAGTAGCCCTAAAATGTAACTGTATGAAATTTTGTCCTGCTTCAATATTTTAAACATTTATAAGTCTTTCTGCAGAAATTACTTGGATGGGATCATGTAGACTCACACAGATATCAAGATTCAGCGTATGAACCTCAACAATGGTGTCAGTCAACAAACTATTCAGATCAACTCAGAACATCAGAAAATTGAAGTTGATTGTCACCATTGTTGAGGTTCATACGCTGAATCTTGATATCTATGGGAGTCTACATGTTCCAGTCCAAATAATTTCTGCATAACACAATGACTAAAACATCAAAAAGTAACCATCACCATCTGATCAGTTTGTGTTCTCACAACTTTCACTATAACAAATGTGCTTCAGAAACTCACAGTTAGGGCAGTCAAAGAAACACTAAAGTTAAGAAGTCAAGGGTCAAGAGCCCAACTAAAGCAAGCGCTTACC